TCTTTCTTTCTTTCTTTCTTTCTTTCTTTCTTTCTTTCTTTCTTTCTTTCTTTCTTTCTTTCTTTCTTTCTTTCTTTCTTCCTTCCTTCCTTCCTTCCTTCCTTCCTTCCTTCCTTCCTTTCTTTCTTTCTTTCCAAAAAGTGCCCATCTCACTATCCAGAGTGACTATGGTCATTCATAAAATATTGTGCCCCCTGTCATATGATCACATTGATGCTACTTAGCAACTGCTCACATTTACAACTAATTATAGCGTCCCACAGTCACATGACTGCAATTGACAATATTTTTTTTATCAGTCCCTGGCAAAACACACCCATTCAGAAGAATGGATTTGCTTGATGACCACATGGTTCACTTAATGATTGGCTTAAAAAATCAGATCAAGTCATGTGGATCCCTTGACTTATGACTGCAGTAACTTTTGATCAAAATCCCAGGTCCAATTATGTTTGTAAGTCAAGGGCCACCTGTAATTCCTTTTGTTTTTTCTTCTGTTCCTGCTATCCCAAGTCTCCAAATGCAGAATTATCAATACAATAAATATAAGACAACATTGTATAAAAAGTCTATCTTAAAACTATACAGTACTGACTAGGAAGTTGAGTCATGGCAACTGGACTTCTTTTCTTTTTTGGTTTGAAATGTTTGCTGCTTATCCAGGTAGCTTCTTCAGTCTTATATATAGAAATATAGCACTAACTTTTCAAACTATTAAGGAGCACAGGGGTATATTTCCCTTCAAGGGGGAAAATAGGAAGAAGGAAAAAAAGTTACCTGATTTGCTGAAGCACTGAAGTGAGCTGAAAAAGCTGCAACTTGCAATACTGCACATATCATGTAACTTTTCGTGTCATTAGTCTGAATGACAGTGAGGTCAGGAATGGTTAATTGGATTGCTGTAAGATTAAAGCAGGCTTCAAAGCAGCTTTCATATAACACTGATGTTAGTTTTAATGTGTCTTTGGATATGTAGAAAGTCCTGTAGAAACTGTATAGAAGTAGTTACAAAAACAAAAGCACATATTGAACCTAGGAAGTAGGAGCATTAGAAAGAAGCTCAGATAGGCTCCAACCAGAAGTGGTATTCAGCAGGTTCTGACCAGTTCTGGAGAACTGGTAGCAGAAATTTTGAGTAGTTCAGAGAACCAGCAAATGCCACCTCTGACTGGAGGTTTTATAGTATCCTTCCCCTGTCACGCCCACCAAGCCACACCCACAGAACCAGTAGTAAAAAAATTTGAATCCCACCACTGGCTCCAACCTAATTCACTGCGGTGGAAAAGAGCGGGAAGGGAAAGTCCTATCAGACTTTGAAGATATTACAGGTAGTCCATCCCTGTGTATGAATCCTCTCTTATTTGACTGTCTCAAATATATATGTTTTCATATTGGATTCCCCATCAGTCTTGTTCTTTGATGTCATGGAAAAGGGGCTATGTAGTCTTGATAAATGTCATTTTCTCTTTGACTTCTCCCAACCTCCTTCATCACTCTACATTAAAGGTGTGGCCTTCTACAAGTTGGAGACAGAGTACTTTCCATCAACAGCATTGCAACTGAAGATGGGACAATGGAAGAAGCCAACCAGCTATTGCGGGATGCAGCGCTTACTAATAAAGTCGTGTTAGAGATTGAATTTGATGTGGCAGGTATGGATATTTTTCCCCACTTAATCCCTTTTTAATTATGTTGCTTTGTTTTCAATATAGTTAGAAGCAGCATAGAACAGTAGATGGCTAGATTATTTTCAGTGACCCAGGGACCAGACATGATACATGATCTTGATGTATTAACTGCATATTGATTTCTGAAGCCAGAACCAATGTATGCCATATAAAATTCTAAATATGTATCAACAGTTATATAGAAGGAACATTTTGAGCAGATAAAATGCCATATTTTTTTCAGATGGTAGATAGTTTGGTTGGAAAGAACCCCAGACTGTACTTCTGTAAAATTCCTGTTGAATAAAAGTAAGTTATTTATGAATAGTCTGATTCTGTCTTAAAAAGCACCCTTGTTTTTATGAGAAATATGTAAAAAAATTTTTTCCAAATTTCTGACTCAGATTGATTCACCAGGCATGAGATAGAGTGTACAGGTAGTCCTTGACTTATGACCACAATTAGGACAAGAATTTTCATTGCTAAAGAAGGGAGTAATTGAATGAATCACGACCTGTTTGCTGCAATTGTTTTTTCTTTTTCTTTCAGAAATGATGTAAATTACAGCATTTGTCTCTTAGATGCCAATTTACAAAAATACTGAATATCTTTATACAGTCGACCTGAATATAAGCCGAGGCACCTAATTTTGCCACAAAAAACTGGGAAAACTTATTGACTCGAGTATAAGCCAAGTTTTTCAGCACATTTTTTGTGCTGAAAAAAAAAAACCCTCGGCTTATACTCAAGTGAGATTCCCTCTGAAAAAAAAAATGGTGTGGAGCTCCAGAGCTGGGCAGCCGCTTCCCTGCTTCTGTGTTTCCTTTGCAACTTGTAAGCATGGGGGTAATTGGAAGCAGAAAAGTTCTTGCATGAGGATATATTGTTTTTTCTTTATTTAACTGTTTTTAGGGGGGGGAAAGACCCACCGTCATGTGAGAATGCTCAGACACGAAATCTATCCGCCTGAAAATAAGTGTGTGTGTGGGGGGGGATTTTAACAGAGGGAAGACATAGGGAGAAGGCAAAAGCGGTGGAAGGTCCTTCAGGGGAAACTGAGGGGGAGACTCACCCTTGGTCCAGATGAGCCCCCTTCCCCGCCCCTAAGGAAGCAGAGGCAGCCAGCAAGGGTAGGCAAGCCCCGCTTCGCGGACCCCATCCGTCCTCGCTCCCACCCACCCACCCAAAGCCACGAAGTCCCCCAATCACGCAGCCCAGAATCACCCTCCCCTCAGGGGGCAGCAACGACGCCCAGTGTTTCCTGAAACAAGAAGCTCCGCCGTGCAATGAAAGCGCCCTGGCTCTAGGCTCAGAAAACAACGCGAGCCGAGGTGGCTTCGTTTCCTCAGCCCTAGCTGCTTTCAGTCCGCTCGGGAAGAGGAGGGGGAGGAGGAGGTGGCGGCAGCAGCTCGCGTTGTTTTCTGCGATCTCAGAAAACAATGCGAGCCGCTGCCGCCCCCTACTTTCATTGCATGGCAGAGCTTACTTAACTCATTTAACAATTGTCTTGCTTAGCAATAGAAATGTTGGGTTCAATTGTCATAAGTTGAGAGCTGCCTGTAAATGTCATCTGTATTATATTATTGGACACCTGGCTGTACTGGACTAAATGCACTAAGGAAATATTAAGTACAAGACACAACTTATTATGAGCTATTTGAAAATATTACAGAAAACGTAAGGCAGCTTCATTCATTGTGTTCTTCCCATTAATTCTGCCCAAAACTGTTCTGTCTAACACTGTTCTGGAATCCAACATGATCTGGCCCAATTGTCTTGCAGGTTTTCATTCCAGTGACAGCAAATTCCAGTATGAATAGGAAGGTGTGCATATAGGAGAGCCACTGAAAACTGAGAAGTGGTCTTTCATCAAATACTTTTTCCAAAGCCAAAGTAAACTTTGTGCTACACTACTGTACTTACATTCACATATTGGGAATTTTAGTATAGGTAGACAAAGCAACTGGCCCAATGACCTTCTGGTTTGATTTTGCCCTTTTAATTGGTTTATTTGTTCCACAGAATCTGTGATTCCGAGCAGTGGTACCTTCCATGTGAAACTACCTAAGAAAAGGGGTGTGGAACTTGGGATTACTATCAGCTGTAAGTGTTTCTAAGTTACAAGTTACAAGTTACATTTGCCATTTTCTTTTTTCTACAAGAGAATGTTCTGAAGATAACTTTCTGCATTATTTTTTTTCAAGGCACATTTGCCTCCTAGTGATTGATAATGTCTTTTAATATCATCCATACATTAATATGATATAGCAGTAATGAAGACAAACTGTATTTTAGCTTTACAATGGCTGGGTGGTAGTTTAAAATCTCCCCTGCCAAGATTTTCTAAATCGTGTTCACCAGAACTCGCAAGAATTTCAGATCAGTTTCAGAGACGCTCATTTTCAGATTGATAATAACTTAAAAGTTAGATTTATATTTTCCCTCTTCGTCGGGACTCTCAAGGGTTCATGTGTTGCTCTTCTTCTTCCAATGTTCCCCATAACAACCTTGTAGGATAGGTTCAACTGAGCGTAACTGGCCCAAAGTCACCCAGTGACCTTGCCGAGCAGGGGCAAAACTTGGATCTGGATATCTTGGTCCTAGTTCAACACTTTAATCACTAATAACACTATAATCAGTACACCATATCGATTGCATTGATTACTATTTTCTGAAATTGATTTGAAATTCTGCCCTTATTCTCTATTTCAGACAAATTTTAGGAAGTGCTAGGTGCTCCCCAAAATTAGTGGAATACCATTGCATTATTGTTTATTTCCAGCCTCACAGCATTGGTAGGATGGAAAGGAGTTTCTACTAAAATACAACTCTGAACCCAAGTAGGAACTCCTGTCTGAGTTATTTCCTAATTTACACATTCCGAGGAACATTAATTGAATGGATTGTAAAGCAGATGTTATGCTTTAGAGTGATGCTCCTGTGCAGATCATCAATTGGTCAGCTGTGCTACCTGAAAGAATATTCTGTTCTTTTCCCATCAGTATTCTAACTGCAGGTATCAGTAGGCTATTTCCATGCATATGAGAATTTTCATGTACACTTTTATTGGTATTTCTGCAAACACTGACTTTCCCCCAAGTATCATTGAAGTCTCCCTCTTCTTAATGAATAATGGTACTCGATTATAGAAGGATTGGAATCTGAAGGATGACAACTTCTGTTAAAATGGTGCACAACAAAATGATGTACAGCATTTGAAAACATACTCAATTATTACTGTTTTTTTTTAAACAAAGAACCCCGACCCCAATAATACATATGTTTAACTGAGAATCAAAGAAGCTGCTTGAGGGTTAAAGTTATCAATAGATTAAAACATTTTAATGAGAGCTTTGTTGCAGTAGCTTGTTCAAGGTTTACTTGGGAGAGGTATAATTGAAAGCTTTAATTTTCTCCAGTAGTCATCAAGGCCTTTCACCCTTATTATAATGTGTCTAAAAGTATCTGAATTTATCACTGGATCAAGGAATTCAAATATTTGCTTTTAAAGTGACAAAGCTTTCGTGTAATATTGTCAGATTTCCAAAGGACATAGTATATTTCAAGGGGCAGGAAAGTCAGTTGGGGCTTTCAGCTTTGCTGAATGATGATCATGAATTCCTAACCCCCAGAGTTGAACAATAACAAAAGAAAATGAATATTTTTTTTCCCACTAAACTGGACTATTAATCAAAAATCTCTGATCTTTCTCAGAGGGTCTTGGGAGGTTTTCAAATGAAACTGGTTGCATTTAGAATTTTAACACACAAAAATGAATGTGTGTATTTGTTCATTTGCTGTTATATATATATATATATATATATGAGGATATAAAAACTTTGCAGAATAAATGGATGCAGCTTGATTTAAAAGCCTTAGTAGCTTCTAAACATATTTTCATTTATAATATTTATTCTTGAGTAAGCAGACATTTTCAAGCAATAATTGATTTATATGCAGACTGCTGCTCTTTTGCAATTTGAACCTTAAATGTACTTTTTCTTTTGCAAATTTTTCCTCAGCTGTTCAATATTGGGGGGAGGGAATTTAAAATAGTCTTTTCCAATCTGATTATTTTTTGTTTTTGAAATGTGATCATAGTTAAACTTGGTTTCAGTACACACATTTCCCCAATGCTTCATGTTTCAATCAGTAGTGGAAGATGTTTTATGCCTGGCTATGTCAATGATGCATGTGAATGATATGCTCAAAACTCTTCAGGGGGAAAACTTCCCCCATCTAAGTCATTATACATTTTAATAAAAACTGGGCATACGTATAGAGAAATATCATCCATCATGTCATGAATCAGAAGCTGCCTGTCTTCCTGCAGACTGTGAAAGGCTCTCTTTGAGGCAGGATATTAAATAAGAGCATCAGCCATCTTGCCTCTTGTTTGGGGCTAGAAATCATTTCAGTAGCTGTAATCAGATATGGGAATGAGCTTGCGGGGCAGATGGAAGAGCTGCAACCAGGGGAGCAGTCCGATAACAGGTAACTTAGCTTGCAGGAGGAATGTGGGTATTGGCAAATGTTTCGGAAGAGACCGTCCCTAGTTTCTGGGGCTGTAAAGGTGATGGGGGAGACTTACAAGACTGATGTCAGCCTTACAAGGTAATCCAGATAGAAACCATGCCCATGTGAAGAAATTCTACTTGATTGTGTGAATCTTTCAAGTACATTTCTCCCCCATTGCCATTCATTCTGCAAGCTATGTTTCAGCATTCCAGCAAAACCAGATCCCCGTCAACAACTCCGAGACAATCCGTTAGCCGGTCTTCCGGACTTTAGTAGATCCGAGATACAAATCCACAAACCAGCATACAGAGATGTAGGTAGTTGTTTATTTTGTACACGTAACTCACATCCCATCCGGCGGTAACGGTTTGAAATCCAAACTAGGTTAGCGCTGGAAGCATTTGCCTTCCAGCACAATTATAGCATTACCCCACCCTCCTAATCGCAGCTACTTCCTGTGGACCACCCTATCCTAAATCCCCACGTAACAAATGTTCCTTAATATGGCTAATTTTGCTTTTATTCCCATATCCTGCCTCCGCAGCTTATAGCACTCTGCATCCTATCTACCACTGTTCCGTGAGAACCCTGCCATAACAAACATCTATCCCTCCCCTCCATAAAGCATCCAGTATGTCCTTGGGGAATCCCTTGTTCAGCCTCCACATCCCAGGTACCAACGTGAGGCAACGTTGCGAGGCAGCATTTGGGAGCCCCCATTCAGCCATCAATTCCCACTGATCAGGTTCGATGTCACATGTTGGAGGAATCCAGGTATAGAGCTCTACTGCTGATGGGCGACTGCATTTGGAGCCTGACACAGGCATTTTCTCAAAGTTTCTTTCTATTGGAAAAGTCATAATGGCACATCTGAGAAAACCCGAATCTGAGAGTTCCAGGTTTTCCCCCAGTAAATCAAAAATCAAAACCCAACCCCTGCATCCATCAGTCCATCACATGGTCCAATCACTATCTGTCTCAATTTGAGACATCCCTTCAACCACTCCTCCTCCAGGTGCAGCAATAACATGACCTTGACTGGAAAGAAGAATGTTATTATGGCTAACTACTAACACTCTAAAAATCCCCCCCAAATTTCTCAGGCACAGGAATGTGGCAGCGTGGAAGTCTCTGGTGACAATGTGGCTTCCAAAGTTGACAATCTGACCATTACCATGATTGCAGCTCTAAGGTCACTCCCACATACCATTAGAGTAGCTGAAGTCTTTCTTCTGATAGGAGTTTCTTGAACCCTTGTGAGGTTAAATATTATGGTTGATACTAAGTGTTTATTAGGTTGAATTATGACATTGAGATCCTTGTGAGCTTAGTTAGTATAATTTGTGAAAAGGGGAGACATTTCTAGGCAACAATAAAGAAGAAATGACTGGTAGAAGGGCAACTTTATTGGTCATTGAGGCTCTTTTCACTCGTTTTGTCAAGATAAGAAGGAATGATAGGGTTTTGAATAAAAATATATATAATATATATTTGTAATATATATTCAAAAGCCAGTTTGGTGTATTCTCCAATTTTTTCTCTTCAAGAATATATTAATTTCTAGACATGTGACATCAGACTTTCTTTTAATCAACAACTGCCTAAGCCCAATGCTTTTTACCTATATTATTCTCTTTATGTGGAGAAACATTTTAAAAATCTTTTTTTGAAAAATAGATTTAGTTTTTTTTCTTAACAGAAATTTATGCCAAGATTATTTACAAATTCATTTAATCTTTCCATTACCATATAATTCATCCTTAATTTACATAAAGTCAAACAAGGAATGAGGTGTTACATTTTGAAAAAATTCTGAGTTCAACATCTCTATCCCTTAGCACTATTGTGTGTTGTTGTTTTTTTACTAAATGGAAGAAAATATAAGTGAAAGCTTTGATTTTGCTCTAGTTTCTCCAAAGTAATTAAATCAAAGCTACAAAATAAGACATCTTAAATTTAGGCTGGTACTTGGAATACAAGGTTATCAGGAGTGGGATTCAAAAATTCCAGCAACCGATTCTCTATTCAGTTGCTGGGTGGGCGTGGCCATGGTGGGCATCAGAGGTGGTATTCAGCAGGTTCTGACCATTTCTGGAGAACCAGTAGCAGAAATTTTGAGTAGTTCAGAGAACCAGCAAATCCCATCTCTGACTGGAGAGCTTACAGTATCTTTCCCCTGCCGCGCCTACCAAGCCACACCCACAGAACTAGTAGCAAAAAATTTGAATCCCACCACTGGAGGTCATGGCCTACCTGAACTTCCAGGAGGGCCATTTTTCGCCTTTCCAATGGTCCAGAGGCTTCCCTTGGGCTTTTGAGAGGGTGAAAATGGCCTCCCCAGGCTCTGGAAGCCCTCCGGAAGCCAGAAACAGGCCCATTTCACAACTTCCGGTACTTCCAGAAGGCCTATTTTCCCCCCTCCCAGAGTCTCCACACAGATCCTGCACTTACCTGCATCAAAAATGGGCCACGTGGAGACTCCTGGGAGGAGTGGGGCAGGTGGGCAGGGCCAGCCGGTTGGTTCAAATACCTATTTGGTGAACCAGATGCAAATTTAACATCCGGTTCGCCCGAACCGGTCCGAA